TATTTTCGTATTCGCCTGGTGAGATGTAAGTTCCACTAAAGCAGTTCCTTCCCAAGAACCACTGCTTCCTGGAACCGGCTCTCAAGAGATAGTTTCCCCGATCACTGTATTCTTAATCTGTTCATGGATGTATTTTAACTGTTATCTTTCACGTATATAAACTTGTAGTGAAAGAGATAATTACCTAACTTGAAAAAGAGTTCGTGTTTTGTGTGCCATCTACCGTAGGAGGATTAAAGAAAATATATTTATTATTGCATAAATACAATAATTTTGGCACAGGACCGAAGGGAAAGTGGGAAAAAGGTTAGACTTCGCTAACCATCCGAGTCAATCACGATGAATTCATCCGATACAACTTATCCATTTCCATTTAGTCCTACATATACAGTGTAACCCGGATATAAGAGAGTTTTCGGGACCGGAGAAGAAGTCTCTTATATCCGGGTTTGGTCTAATTTATATACATTAACACAGGCTCTAATTTGGGACCAGAGAAAAGCTCTCTTATATCCAGGTTTCTTACACTGTACCACATATTCATGGGGGAAGGTGGCTACAAAAAACAACCCGTGATATAAAATGAGGTCATTTTCTAAGCGTAGTTTCGATGCAGCACAAGACCGAAAGCATAAGTCACCCAATGAGAATTGAACTCACTACTCAGTCGTAACTGTCCTAGCGTGAACAAGCTTTCTAACCATTCCATCACGTCGGAATGCCCGGAGAATGGTTAAAGAAAAAAGTAGTTAGCAAAAATCTGCTAGTTTAAGTATAAGAATCTATGCTAATGTTCTTTCCTCCCCTGAATGGCGTGGCCGATCAGAAAAATCGTTCGGTAAATAAAAACCGCTGTTTTTCGCTTACCGGGAGTAGGATTTTTATGAGCTTGGCTGATGAACGTGTGTTTTTGCTGGTGAGAAGTAAAGGTTGGATTTGTGACCCCCATTTTGTCGTTTCTACGTTGCCTGTTACGACGGACTATCGTTTGAACTGGGATTTGGCTACAAGTGTTGCGGTCTAGAGACAGAAGAAACCTATTGAAGGCGTTTATGGCTACTACAAGTTTACACCTTTTTTTTTCTTTTAACACAACAAAACATAAGCTCTTACTCTGAAACCCTTTACTTCTAGCGACACCTTGTCCTTGTACAGGGTGAAAATTACTGTAAAAATAATGTCTCTTTTAACATGTGAGGAACGCGTGCTTTGTATTGTGTGAACATTTACGAAAAAAAAATGGCGTCGTTCTTTATAGTCGCAGTGCAGCTCTTAGTGGGTCATTTCTTTCGCGCAGTCGTGTTTAACTCTTCTTTACTCTCTGATTCTGCTATTAAATATCTACACAGTCGATATATGATATTCTACATCGACTTAGCTATACAATCACTGGTAGTGTTTTCTCAATCATCAAGTTATTTATAACAGGTAAGTGCATGAATTTAACGATCAGGCATTTGGAGCTCATGGGATTAAAACAGACATTCCCCCAATGCTTGCTACTAGACCTTTCCGTTTTTCCGCGTTATACAAACGATCTGCCTGAAAAGAGAGAGATCTTTAGTAAATACCTCTACAGATGATACAAGTGTGTATGGGTGCACCTCCGAAAATCTAGATGACCCGAGGCTCGCAGTTGATCTCTACTTTGACCTAGCTCTAGTGGTTAAGTGGGGAAGGGCTGGTTTGTAACATTCAGAACACAAGCTAATAGACATGGTGGATAGGATAATGGATAGAGGCTCGAATTGAGGAATCGGAGAGTCGAGTTCGAATTCCACTCGAATCCATTACATTCACTTACGTGCTAATACCCTTGGAAAAGGTATGAATTCTCTTTTCTCCCCCCAGCTTATGGGTAAATAGCAGAATAGATCGGGTTCTGTAGCCTTGGATCGCAACTAGTCTACCGCAGAATGAAATGGCAACCTACTGCGGGAAAAATTCTGTCTCGTCAGTTATGTATCGAAAGATACATGATCGTCTAAGCGTGTATCACTCATAGCACATAACTGACTGACTGAACCTTTCATCATCACCGGATACGGCATGATGGATGTTTGTTCACTCAGGGAATCTCCTGTTGGTACTCAGGTTCACGTCAGATCTCAAATGGAACTCGTATATACAATCCACAGCTAAATACGCTGGGGAAATTGTTAGTTCCTTGTACAGCACAAGTAAGCAGCTGATTCCATGTGCTACGCTCCAAATTTACAAGGGACACCAGAATCAAGAATTGCTGCTAATTTATTTAGGATAGTCATTATTTTTCGGGATTGATCATGTTCATAAAAGTCTTCGCGGCCTAGTGGACGGTGAAATATTATCAACGCAGCAACCTCTATCCCACAAAAGAAAAAAAAACATCGCAAGGCAAAGTATTTGCTATTTCCATGGCAAAAGTTCTGACGTGATATATCCCTTACTTCAGCCTCGATGTCGACAGCTAAGACTCGCCATATCGTATACTCTGGAATGAATAATCTCCATCCCATTTGTATTCCGTTATCGAGAATGAAACATATGATATGATGATTTGACCGGTCACCATCTTAACCTATTAAACTCTGGGGTCAACTGTTATCTTTTCTGTATATCATTTTAGACCAAAATTCATCAC